AGCATGACTGATGCTCTCTCAGGGCTAGTATAAAAGAAAAAGCACAGTCATTTGTTAAAAATAAAAGGTAACTACCTGGAATGAGATTGCTCACTAGAGCACTGCAGTAAAGCAACGTGCTAACAGCCATACAAAGCTACCAAGAGCAGCACAGCCACTTATTTTTAGGTGTGAGAGGACATGTACTTATACCTGGGAGGCGATTTAACCATATTCTGAGGAATCCCGGGAAGAGGGACTATATTCCTCATCTTTTCTTAGGATTTCTCGCACACAAAAAAAGAGAAAACTTCAAACAAATGAGTTTCTGATTTGCACAATAGAAATTACTGTACCCAAATTCCCATACACAGCTCCTGCAATAGTGATTTTTAGGATGCACGCAGCCCCATCAGCTGGCGATGGCAAAGGACCTGACCAGACAATAAACCAGGTGTTACAAGGATGTATTTGAAACCTTCCACAAGAAAAAAACACCTCAAGTCAGGCCAAATCTCCATGAACCCCAGTGTTGTTCACTGACAATGACTGACAGCAAACACCCAGGGAACAGTACAGCAACAAACCCAACGTACCAAGGTATTTCCCCAGAATGGGAATGGGACAGTTCAGGAAATCCAGGTCTCAGATGCCTACACATGTAACTCAGTCTCATGTGCCCCACAGTGAATTGCCACGGCTTGGGGGTTTTAGGGTAAGGTGGTGGGGTTTTTTTTTAGCTCAGCCTTAAAATATGATTTAAATAATCAGGGAAAAAAAAGTCCTATTAAGTAAAATAAAGATACAAAGGGCTCACAAGGTATCAGAGCCACAGGAGCTTTGGAGCTGGGCTGTGTTTTTAGGAGCTCAGCATCTGCTACTCAGAACAGACCATTCCTCCAAGAGCAAGTGAAATAATGAGCTAGCAACACTTAGACAAACTATGTTATGAAAGAAGGAACAAGAGCAGCTTGGAAGAGCACTTTTCCTGCAATACTGCATCGATGCTGGACATTGGGTAAGGTATGACAACACAGAAATCAAAAGGCAGGAGGTGGTTCTGTCTGGTCAGCATCACTGCCTCATTCCTCACATCCCTGAAACTTCATCCATGTAAAAATACCCCTTGTGCCTTCTCCGCAGGGCACTGTCAGGAGATGTTGCGTTTCTCCTTCACCGCATCTTCATGAGAAGTATTTCAGTGCTGGGCTCCGACAAACAAATCAACAAATGGATTCCTCTCGCCAGCCAGTATCAGCTCATTGGAAGCTACGCCCAGACTGAGCTGGGGCACGGTAAGGCTGCAAAGAAAACACAGCATTGCTGTAGGACAAGAGGCTCTGGCCCAGATTCTCGGGGGGATTTGAGTTCAAGCTGTCCGTGCTTCACTGGGGCAGGAGCAGTTGGCAGGGAAAATGCCACCTGCACATTAGAGGTTGATGTCCTCAGCATTCCCCTGTAACCTGGAGATGCACTGGCTTTGGTTTTGCCAATGTAGAAAAAATAACAAGAACGAGATTGAAAGCTCACGGCTAGCAGGCAACCACTATCGGTGGAGGGGATCAGCCAGGCAGCTTGCCCAAGTCGATGGTGTCACCATGAGCCAGGCAGCTTGCCCAAGTCAATGGTGTCACCATGAGCCAGGCAGCTTGCCCAAGTCGATGGTGTCACCATGAGCCAGGCAGCTTGCCCAAGTCGATGGCGTCACCATGAGCCAGGCAGCTTGCCTTTGAGTACCATGTGGCTCAAGAGATCTTTGCAGGAGGCAGCATGGAGTTGCTGGGAGCATCATTCCACAGTTCTCCATTAGGAGAGTAAACCACAAAACCCTGGTAATACCCACACCAGCCTCTAGGGATCCTCTACTCTCTCCATCCTTGCGATACACACATATTACACTTTTTTTTTTTTAAAGGAACATATCTTCAGGGTTTGGAAACAACAGCAGTCTTTGATGTTGCTACACAGGAGTTTATACTGAACACACCAAAGATCTCTGCCATGAAGTGGTGGCCTGGAGACAGTAAGTAACCATAAACTATTTTGGTTTTCCTCATTTGCGTCCTTCAGTTACTCGGTCTGCTCTGCTCAAGCTCCATGTTTAAGGGCCCAGGTGCTAGGAGAGGACTTCAGTAAGAGATGCACACATCAACAGGCAAGTAAGAGACCTAAGGGGTTTGTACAAGTTCAAAGGGAGCCACTACCATCTATCAAAGGCCTTTGGGTGGCAGGGTTGGAGAACTTCACACAGAGAAACTCCTGCCTCTGCAGGAATCGATCTTCTCTTCTTTGTAAATAATACTCAGGCAACCAGAACCCGCAGGGAGGTCATCAGCATAAAGGATCAGCATAAAGGATTCAAGTCAGCAGCCAGTCTCAGCATAAAGGATTCAAGTGTGAAATTCATGGCTCCCTTCAGGAAGGTATTTCACGCAAAATAGCTGGAGTTACTCTGACAGCCACGGCACCTCCTACTCTCTCAGCACCGCATGAACTTTAACTATTTATTTTTTCTTATCTGCTGATGCAAACTGTTCATCCAAGCCTCACAGGCAGGGACAGAGGCAGAGGGATGATGCAATTTCCAAGAGCAGGCTCAGAACGCGGATTTAGGCAATCTCCTGCTTCCAGCATGTGTGGATCACACCCACCCTGCCCCATATGTTAGCGAGACCTAACAGACAATTAGCACTGACTGCTGTTCACTATGGAAGCGTTTGTACTGTACCTTGTCGTAAGGGAATGGGAATGTTTTTCTTCTCACAGTGGGAAGGTCAGCAACCCACACAGTGGTCTTCGCTCAGCTGTACGTCCACGGCAAGTGCTACGGTGTGCATCCCTTCATCGTGCAGATACGCAGCCTTCAGGACCATTCACTCTGCCCAGGTAAATGACCCCAGACATCGCAACACTTGTGCGGGTGCTCTGCCTATTCTGCCCTTAAATGTTTTATAAAACATTGGGCCCAGGGAAAGTTATAATTGCGAAAACCAAACCAAGACAGATACCCAAGGCATAGTTATCATTAACCCCAACCTTTTTATCTAAAGGAAGATTTAATGTATCCTCAGGCATACCCAGACCAAGCCGCCTTCTTAACCAGAAGCCTGGGCTGCTCTGACCACTCTGCATTAACACCTCAGTTCTGTCCCTGGCCAACACAGGTAACACGGATCATGGAAACAAATCACCACATGGCATTTGAATGCCTGTTTCATCCCTCAGGCAAGATCACCCATGCTGGGGAAGAAGCAGAGCTGAACGTGCCCTTCCTTTGAGATCTCCAGCCTGACACAAAATGGGGAGAAAAAAGTTCAAGTGGAAATAAGCAGGCCATGTTTTCTCCCACTGCAGGCATAACTGCAGGAGACATTGGTCCCAAAATGAATTTTGAGCACATTGACAATGGCTACCTCATGCTGCAGAACGTGCGCATCCCTAGGGAGAACATGCTGAACAAGTTCTGTGAGGTACGTACACATCACAGACTTGCCCATCAAGACTCTCATTGCACAGCCAGAGAGATGACAGGGACCTGCCTAAATTTAGGACAAAAATCTTCCTTTGAGGTGACTGAAAGTCTCTGCGATTTTATCAAGGGCAGAAGCTACCCGAGTCCTAAATAAAACACTGTGTCAGGAATTCCACATTCAGAGGTTGGGGATCACAGGGCAGGCAGAACCTATCCGAGCCAGAAGCAGTAAGAGTTTGCCTCTTAAAATGGATATGTTTCATCCATCATACATAAAAATATTTAGGTTTGCATTCAGAGAAGGATTTCAATGTCCTTTTTTTTCTAAGCGTGGAGATTATACAACCATCCCAGCATTGAAGTATTGAAGAAGGTGGCCTCTAACATCCTCTCTCCTTTCTAGGTTCAACCAGACGGCACTTACGTAAGACGGGGATCACAGCAGATTAATTATTTCACAATGACTACAGTGCGCATTTCCCTCATTTCAGACGAAGTTATAATACCTCTAATGAAAGCTTGCACCATTGCCATCCGATACTCCGTGGTTCGCCGGCAGTCCAAGTTAAAGCCTGGGTAATGCCACGCAAGCCCGCAGCGGTGGGAAGGGGACCATACACCACGTTCCCCCGCACCAAGCTGTATTTCTACTTTTTGTCTTATCTTTTAGCACATCACTGGTGTATTTCCTGGCCCAGACAGGGTATTACAAACATGCTTCCCCATTATTTACACTAACGAGCTTCAGTCAAAGTACAAGAGAATGTTTACAGTTCTTTCTAAGATAAGTTTCATAGATTGAATAGCTCAGCCATTCACACAGGCAACTTATTTTTCTTATAACTGGCCCTCCCCTGTAATCTCATAACGCAGCAGAATCCAGACAAAGCAGACAAGTTGCTGAACTCTTATTCTATAGCATCCTGCTAGTGGGCGTGACATTAAAATCCCTTCCAATATCCACAGTTCCAATGTCCACACTTTACAACACTGAATTTTATTAGTCTGGTAAGAATCCCAGCATTTTTTAAACAGATATTTTCATGTGAATGGATTTCAAAAATTTCCACTTAAATCTCCTTTCAAAAGCAAGAAGATCCTAACGAGAATGTGGTTTGGTTCAAACGCAAACCAAACACAAGAGCACAGCATGCTGAGCTATTGTAATAACCATCTCCATCATCTGAAGTCCTAAGTGTACTAACCACAACAAAAGTGGTAAAGAACATCCAAAAAAGCTCCAAAAGCTTAAAATAATTAAGACTCAAATATTTTCCAGGGAACCTATGTACACCTAGGGCCACAAGATCCAGTTTGAAAAGCAAAAGTTTTTCAGGGTGCAGTGCCACCACCTCCCCTATGACACCTAACAACTTGCTGTCCTTGAAGGCTTCATCCTCGTGCTCTCCCCCAGTCCCTGTTCCCCCTCCATAGCGACCGGTCACACATGGCAGCCTTTTCTACTCCATTAGGCTGGTTCACCAACACAGCAGAAATACCACTTTTTTCCTAGTTGGGCTTGTTCCTCTCAAAGCTTAGCAAGCTGGGCAGATTTGCTGCCACAAGATGGGCTCAGTCTGCTCACATACTGCTTCTCGGGAATGCAAAAAGCCATTTTTCATTGTGCAATAGGTAAACTAACAGTAGCTA